AGGTGTAAAAATTTGTATGATTGATTTACGATACTCTCGATATATGGTGCATTTTTCGATTTTCAATCAATGTGCTAAAAATAAAACCGATTAACGCAATCAGAGTTATGTCAAGTAAAGGATTTAACCCTCAGTATGAATTGAATCTTATTCTTAATCATCGATGATTTTCTAAATTTTCTTTAATCAAATATTTCAGATTTTTAAATCGATCTACCGCGGTGTGGATTTCCATAAAAGCGTTTACAATTATTATTTATTTAAATTTTTTTTTTATTTTAATATTATTTATTAAAATTTGCTTTCTTTTCTCCAATTCCAAAAAAAAAACAAAAACAAATTCAGATTTCTTGTTTTACTTGCATTTCTCTAAACCTGAAAATATGAAAAAGTTATGAATTTGAAAAACATGTTTTTTTATACCTATGCGAAAAAATTATAATAAAAAAAATTAATATAGTCTAAGAATTTAGTATTAGTTTTTTAGTTTTTTATATATATACATACTTAACGTAATATATATTCGAGGTTAATTATAAATGCGGGAAGAAAGGTAAAAACAATGAAATTATTAAGTTTTTTTTGGTTTTTTTTTTTTTATCGTAGACCCAAAATTCTGACTATTCTTGAATGTTTGATAAAAAAAATTTTTTTTTTTTTTTCAAATATGTAAAAATTCACTTTGATTAAGTTTGCTTTCTTTTTTCTAGAAATTAATTTTTAAAAAAAAAATAGTTATTCATAATCGTCTTACTTAAAACCCATGAACACCATGACTTTTTGCATTTTTAATAACTTTAACAAGAATTTTGTATTTTGCTAAAGAATTTTTTTTTTTATGTTTGCAAAAGCCTTTTAATTATGTAAGATGGATAATATTTAGTTCTAATATTTTTTCTGATAGAAACATATTTTAACACATAACTGGTATATAATGTTGTTTTTCAGTTAGGATTTAAAAACAAAAAAAATGTTTTATGTGCGATAAGATGTGAGTGCATGCAAAACTATTCTTTACTAAAAAAGATAGATGATGTCAACTTAACCTGTCATAATTGATTTCAAACATTGCTCTCAGTTTTATTCAGTTATGTTCAAGCATTTTTATATCCATCATCTAAGGATGGGGGGATTGAGACGTTTTCAAAGCCCAGAAGAAAGTTTAAGAGACCCCACAAAGAATAGATATTCTTGATTAACAATAAATTATAAATTGATTTAAGCATGTCCGTCGGTCCGCTTTTGTAATGTCCTCTGTAAACATTATCCTGGCCGCAAAAATTAAACTATCGCCTATAAGAGTGCAAAAGAATTTGCAATGATCTATAGTAGTCGAAAGCCCCGCCTGCGAACGCCCAAAAGCCTATACAACAAACAGTAAAACAACTTTGTTTTCTCTGCTTTTTGCTTATTCACTCATCAGAAGAATAAGGCGCACGCGTCAAATACTATAGAGTATGAAAATGTAGGTCCTTTCCTTTTTTTTTTTTGTCTTTTTTAGGGCAACGGTGATAGATATAAGAGCTTCTGTCACGTCCGAATATAATTTTCTTACTTGGTTGAACTGAAAATGTTCCTTATCGCATACCTGTCTTACAAATTGTATAAGAAGAAATATTTCATTTTTATCAAGTTCCAAATATAATGAGAATATATAAAGGTTTCAAGAAAAGAGTCTTAAGAGAATGTGCAGCTGCAACAATTAAGATATGTTTTATGTATTTTCATTAGATTTACAAACTAAAAGAAGGCTCGTCAAACTGCCAAACTGCTAGGGAAATACAGTTCATAGTAAAGCGAATCGAAGAAGGAGAAGAAGTTGAATTTTTGGAATTCAACAAAAATGCGCTTATGAAACGGATCAAATCACTATGCTTTATTTAAAACCACTCACTGTGTACTGCAATGTACTGTAATAGATGAACCAACCACGAGCCAATTAGAATTTCTGCAATAAATCTTAACTTTAGGTTTAGAGCAACTTAATCGATATGAAGTTTTAAACTATCAGTTAAAATTTATCCTCGTTATAGATAAAAGTTTTCGTGCTAGTGCTTCGGTTTTTGTTCTTACTCACCTATGGTTAATCTATATGTATCTCCCTTGTGTTCTTTGCATTTTCAAAAAGGAAGCCCCTTTACCTGACTTATTAATTATTATATTTCCTTTGTGTTCCTTTTTCATTGTCAAAGAGAGAAATTCTTGAGATGGTTTTCTCTTGTGCTTGCAAATGCTTAAATATGCTTTACTGCCCTTTTGTTCATTTGTTAATTTGTACTTATTAAAGGAGAATCTATTTTTTTTTTTTTTTTTTTTTTTTTTTTTTTAAATACCTCTACCAATATATTAAAAAATTAAAAAAAAAAAAAAATTAATTATAATGCTTTAAATGAAAGAGAGTTTTGAGCTTTTCTTTAACATTAATTTTCATTTTTATTGATATCATTATTATCCTTTCGGTTCGATTAAAAATAAAAATAAAATATAATTTTTTATTATTGTAAAAATATATAATTTAATCATCATTTTTTTTTTTTTTTTGTTTTTTGTATGAATAATATTTCATGATGATAATAAGTGAGTAAAAAATAAAATCTTAAAAATTTCCAAAACATATTTATATATTAATAATAATAACAGTAAAATAAAAAACAAAAAAATGCCAAAGATAAATAATTTTTTTTTTTTTGATTTTTAACTGAGAAAATCGCTGAATAGCTTTATGTGGAAGAAAAAATTTAAATAGCTCAGGTGGTCTTGTACAAGATGAACGACTCTTTCTGACATGATTTTCAATTCCTTTCATGTCAAAAAATACGTGCGAAAAATAGTAAATCTACGAACGGGACGGAACAATCAATAACGACATGCTCTGTTCATGTTGAAGTACAACGAGATAAAGAGAAAAATGAACGAAAAATTAGCGTATTTCCATAGCAGATCAAGTCACCGTGCACCTGTGTTTGTGGGCATAAATCAACCTTTTTCACATCACGGTATGAGTAGACAGTTTTCGTAAAGTCGTTTCACGGGTGTCTTTCGCTGCAACATTTGCGGCCAACTAACGCGCGAACAGCTTTGCGTTTCAGAGCCATTTCATTATTTTATCGATCGAATACCGAAATTTGCAAAAGTTTGCAAAAAGAAAGCTTTGAAAAGCCACACTTCTTGTTTTCTTTATTGAGGTCCGCGGAGCGGTTTGAAGAATTCTCGTGAAACATAAATGCTTACATGACGAGCAAGTCTAATTGATAATTTTTTTTGTGATGAAAATTGGCCTATGATAGTAATTAAATAAAATAATTAGGTAGGCCTATTTTGAACCACATAGGTCTATTTTTTGCCCCATTTTATATAAGATATCTCGTCGTATCTAAATAATCCATAGGATCGTGTCAGGAAAACAATTAACAGTAAGGAGTTTGGATCACATGGGTCTATTTTTTTTGGACCCGTACTTATATGGACGCTATCAAGAAGCGGAAACTCTTATATATAAAATTATAGCTTTGCATGAAGACAACCTTTACTTTTTGTATTAGGCGAAGTGGTGTAGGGTTTGTAATGGTTGGCGTCATCCAACTATAATGTTCTTACTTGGTTTTAATTATTAAAAACTCCTACAACTGGTATGAACTCAATTAAATTCGTTAATGAGTCATAGAAGAACTAGAAAACAAGTAAAGAAACTATAACGAGCAGTTCACTTTTAAATAACACCCTACACTTCTACAGTCGAAACAGTTTTTTCAATAGCGTTCGTTTTACATGTCAGTATAGTAAATTTTATCAAAGTGTCTCTGAAATTGCGGTCAATGGATTGAACGCAAGAAAATAAGGCGGAGATACAAGTTTAGATTGATGCAGAAAATGATTCTGAATCGATCAGGGTAATAAAAGATGGATCCATCTCAAGTCCTTCTGGATGTTGCACACATCCGCGCAAACTTAAAATATCTTAGCATCCTAAGTGATGTAGGGTATAAAAAGTACTATAATTGACAGAAACACAATGAAACGCGATAATATGTCATAACCTGTTCAAAGCGAGAAGACAGCAGAGACGGACAGACAAACAGATTTAAACCTATTCAGAATATGATTCTGAATTGATCGGTATAATAAACGGCCGTTCTGTCTCAAGTCCTCCTGGGCGTTGCATACATTCGCAAAAATCTCATATAACCTCGTATCAAAAGTGATGTACCGTATATAGTAAACGTAGGTGTATGTATAGTGGACCTTAATCAAAGCCTTGATCTCGATGAAACATCCAATCAAATATGAAAGATTTTTTTTTTTTTTTATTATGTTTCCTTGTATTTGTATGTGAGGTGTTAGAAATCAATAATAATTTTATTTAATATAAAATAATAAAATTACAAAAATTATTAATTCACTAATGATAGATAGTATCTGGTAACCGTAATTTATATACAAGAAAAAAAAAAAAGGCAAAAAAAAAAAAACGATAAAAACGCGCCTTTTTGCCACAAACAGTAAGATTTCATAAATTATTTCAATCAATATTCAGTGCAATATTAATGACATCATTAGACTAAGTTAATAAGTTTGGAATTTTTATCAAAAGTTCGTTTTCTTTTCTTCGAATTGTTTTTTGTTTTTTGCCGATGGCGACGTTTCTTTCTTTCTTTTGCTCACATTTCGTTATCATATTAATAAAGGTACTCGCATTTATAATTAAAACTATTAATAAAGAGAACAGGCTAAAAACTCTAAAAATATTTGCTAATTTAACAAACTCACATTTGAATGTGTGCAGATTGAGGAGGCGGGTTATTGCGACGTATGTGCAATGCTTTTATTACTAAATACAATTAAAAACTATTTTCTAGTCGGTATAGTCTCTTCAAGATTTGCTACTGATTCCGGTTCGGTATCTTCTTCGTTATTCTTGACTGTAGGCGATGATAAATTCAATTCGTGTTCATCATCGGACTCGGTAGATTCCCTTATAAGTTGCGTAATCGGTCGGGTTTTATATAAATTGCATGTTTCGTTGACATAGCGATTAAAAACGTCTGGTTTATCTGCATAAACGTGATGACCAGCGCCCGAAACTATTTTAATATTAACAACGGATCCGTTACGTTGAGATTTGATTTTTTCACCTGAGGAAGAGTCTATCCAGGACCGTGAACCATAAATAAATGTAATGGGTATATCTTGGCGAACGTCTTTAATACGATGTATCATTGGATGTTTGGCCCAGCCAAAGGATTCCATCATATTGTGAAAAGCTGATTCACCCGTAGGCGTTTGTGCATTGCATTGATGTATGTACTGAGACAAAAGATTGGGATCCTCATTAATCGCTGCCGCGAATTTGCGCATAATATCTGGCCGCGTTTTTTGTATTACCCATTGGCCAAAAGGACCGGCTGCCCTTAGCGCCCATAAAGGATTGAGTGGTGTCAGTGCATACGCTATGGCACGCACCCAAAACGGTATTTGTTTACTTGTTAAAGCTTCCGGCGGTTTTTCCGGAAACCCCCATGGATCTGCCAATATTAAATGTTTTACACGATCCGGATAAGTCAGAGCATAACTGGAGGCTATAAAACCACCCATCGAATGACCTAACAATATCATATTACTTATGTTCATCTCGCGACGCCATTCCTCCACGGATTTAACAAATTGTTTTTCACATGTAAGAGCATCGTTAGAAAATTTTGGACGCGAACTACGACCAAATCCCAAAATGTCGATAGCGTATACCGGTCGATCTTTGGACAACGCATCCAAATTCAAAACCCATAAAGCAACGCCGGCACCCAACCCATGCAACATTACAACCGGTACTTCACGTGAATCTGTATTTAAGCTTAAAGTCCATACTTTATCCGCTTCGCCGATTGCAGGACCCACGTCCACAAAGAATCCTCGATAAGGCGTTTTAAGAAAAGCGAGTATTTTCTTTTCAACAGCTCTCAGCATTATGGATGAACTAGATGTCCAATTGAATAACCATTTAAAAAACCAAAAACTCTTGATTTTAGGGTCCTGAAAAAAAAAAAACAAGCAAAAAAGAAAAATGCTTAACAAATTGATACAAGTCGACTTGCCAGTTTTTAAAAATGTTGAGAAGTAAGAAAAAAGGAAAATTCGTAATCAAAAAGACAAAAACCAAATATCTACTAATTAATTAATTATGCTTTGATAAAATGTAGGACTAGTTGAAAACTACCCCGGACCTTATATTGCCATTGATCGGTCTAGCTGTAATCCATCTTTGCTTTATTGTAAAAATTCTACAACAGTTTTATAACAGCATATTCCTCTCTCATCGATTGTTTGTTTTAAGAAACTTTAGGTGCACTCACAGCGCTGAGAAGTTGCCAAGCACTGTTCATCATCGGCTCATTTCCAAACATGATTCTTTCATTTTATGATTTTTTATGAGCGGACCTAATCAAATTTGCTAATTAATTATTTGGAAATGTCGTTCTGCTTGAACGTTTTCGCGCCACGTTGCAGGTTCTTATATAAATCAAACATTGCCCAATTGAGGTACAAAAGGTTCCGTTGTGAAATTCAATGTACTTAATTGCCCTTGATTGATCATTAAAACCATAAGCAAAACAAGTTTATTAGATTTCAAGTCATTCATACATAGTGTTTGGTGTTTTATTTCCGTCAATAATATAATTCCACTTACACTAAGTTTTCTCCCTTGCTTTTTTTTTTCTGTGCTTTAAATTTAGAATATGTGATGAACTGGTGACGCAGCTCTGTAAGCAGTGGATTGTATTTATGATGACATTTGGCAAAATCAGCAAAAAATTTTGATATTTACCCAAACGACTAATCGAAAGTGCAAGTTATTCGCACTAAATTTATTTGGATTTATTCTATTTTTGATTTTTTCATTCATGTCATTGCAACTGTCAAACTAATTCCGTCTTATACTATTTTTTTTTTTTTTTGTTTTTTCTCTAAAAAAATTTCATTCTTTTGTTTATTTAGCTATGGGACAGATGTCTTGAATCTTATTTTGCTTACCTCTATATCCATAGCAGTAGTAAGTTCGGATGTAGTACTAGTCGTAGTACTTTGACAAATAATCATTTCATTCTCGATTTTCATGTTGCGGTACTTATTTTGTTTCCCTTTACTATTTATAAAGGCACCTTCTTCTTCACGATTTATTCTATATTTTTGCAAATACTTTTCGTTTTCTTTGTTTGCTTGTTTGCAATTCAACAAAATTTTGTTTCTCTTTTTTACAATTTTTACTATTTATATTTCTAAATTGATTTTCGGTGTAAAACACAAAACAACCAAAAGAAAATTGAAATTTTGTTTTTCTTAATGCCTATGACAAATATTTCCAGTTCTTCTAATCGCATATCAAACTAGAGTTATCAATCGAGTTTATTTATAAATATATGCATATATGTATGTATTTTAACTGCGAACAATTAAACAATTAAATTAAAACGTAGTAACCACTATTAAAAAAGAAATATACTGTTTCGTCACCATAAATAATTAATACAAATACTATCAATTTGCTGCTCGTTGGATATCATTTTAAGTAAGTTCCCACTAACTGATGTTACATTCTGTTTTGGTCGTCAAAATTATTTTCTCTTTTGTTTTTATTGCACTTTAAGATTTTACCATTTTTTAGGGTTGCCGTCGCTTGAAATTTAATTGCGTTTCAATTACATGTACATTTCATAAGCACTGACAATTCTTATCGATAAGTAGTGAGAATGGATTGAATTAAAAAGTTAAGAATTTTTAAATTATGAATTTAATAAAATTTGTCACCTTGGTCTTTTGTAAAAAGTATTAGGTGTTTGCAAGAGTTGTGGTCATTTTTTACTTGAGGAAAATTGATGCAATATCAAAAAATATTAATCAAAATAATTTCGAACACTTTATACAATATTTCACAATATTTTTGACAACACGGCGTTGTGATGTTGGAATAAACTATATTGGTTTGGTGCCGACCTATTTTCGCACGCGGACGCGCGTGTCAGCTAAGCTTTGCTGCATCGATCTGAGCAACTAGTAATCAGGAGGCGCCATGTCTGATGAGTAAGCTGGGTGAAGCAAAACTTCTCATTCGAAGTGCAACAGCGTATTCTGGACGACTCTGGCATCGAGTGGCCAAAGTGGCATATTCGATGAATTTGCGAGGTAGCCGTTTTACCTTCTTTAAGACATCTCCCATTAGATGTAAATGTTTAAAAATTGTTGATTCGTCAAGTACTGAGCTGTTCGAGAGCTCTTCGAGATTTGTGCTAGATGTTTGGCCTATAAATCTTACAATTCATGGTCCTTGAAATTCTAGACTTCTCAATTAAGGATTTACTTGGTATTGTAAGATTTATGAAGCAATATATTTTTTATAAATAAACTGAATAACGGCTCATCGATGTAGACGCAATTATACCAAATTAAAGCAAATATTATGAACTTGTTTGTTTTCTAGAAGACTCCGTCTTTCAGTTATAAAGTAATGAGATGACGTAAACTTTTTTATTTCTTAAGACTTATATAAATTAAAAAAAAACCGTAATTAAATGAAATTGCTTTTAGAATTCATTGTAGGCAAAGTTTTTTTTTATTGAAAAATCAAATTCAGAAATTTATTTACAAGTATTGTTAAAACTAGCAGGAGAAGAAATTTTTTTATTAAATATTGAGTGAAGAAAAAAGTTCACGGCGTTCTTTAGCCCAATAAATTAAATTGAAATTGTCGCATAATTTAAGTAGCCCTGTCAAGCCATTCTATAGCTCGTCTGAAAGGTGGATCCAAGATATTCAAAAATAAATATATAATAAAAAAAGAGAAGAATATTGTGACATTTCTTAATTCAATGAAAAATAATTCGATCCTTTTAAAAAAAATGAGCCTGGAAAAATTCTCCATGTTTTACAATATCATTTTGAAAAAGCCGATAAAGCTGCATAGACCATATACGATGAAGATACTCTCTAAAAATCAGGAGCATAGCAATGCTTTTCTCATTTCGGCTCGGTAAGTGCAAATTGACAAGCGATTCTCTTTACAAAGTATAAAAAGGCTTTAGATCAATCAAGGGGGTTACGTTAGAGTGTGGTCGCAATATGGGGCGGATTTTTAGTCAGAAGATATGTTATCTCTTCATAAAATCGAAAAAGAATAATGGAATTATTTTGCGAAGTTAGCGGCACTTGACCAAGTAAACAAGAAAAACATTAAAACTAGACCATGGCCGAATATTTTATACCCATTATCTTTGTATTAAGATAGAATTTGCAAATGTTTGTTGCTGCAGTTTAAGAGTAAGGAGCAAAACACTCGTCTTTTTTTTCTTCCCAGTTTACGTTGTACTGTGAACGTTTCCTTGAAGTCCTTGTCGAACCTGCGTGCAAACACTTTCAATGTTCGTGATCAAATCGGAGCCCGATATTTTCATTTTGACGAGCAGCAAAATGTCAGAAGTCAAACTATGGAAAAATCAATGTCTATTAAATTATCATTAGTTTTGATGAGTTAATTAAAGGCATTGGTTTCGTAAATCATAAGTAGATTATGGATTTTTGAAACGTAAAGAAAAAAAAAAAGTTTTATCATTAATCACTTCCTCGATGGTGGTTAGCGGGGTAAAGCGAAAAGAGGAAAAGGTGGAAAAAAATTGTTCTGGAATTTTTAGCCTCTTTTCTTCGAGACACGCTTATAAGCAATTCGCATTCACTTGGGGACAATACACAGAAATCGATGTTAGCTAAACTAAACCATTTTAAAGAACGACGTCTTCCTTCTTTAAGCATTATAAACATCGTCATTATTCCCCTCGCCGAAGGATGAGGGGTATATTCATTTTGTTAAAACGTTTGCTTCAGAAGGAAGCATCAGAGACACCGCAAAGTGTATATGTATTTTTGATCGGCATCAAATTCTGAATCGATTTAAACATGTCCGTCTGTCCGCCTGTGTAATGTTTGTTGTATAAACATTTCTCTGGCCGCAAATATAAAGCTAAAATATTTTTTTTTTACGAAGCTAACGACTTAGAATTTGGCAGGAACAATTCTTGCAGGCAAGTTGGCATAGAAAACGGCCCAAATCTGGAATATCAAGTAAACTGAGAAAACCTGTTTTTCCAAAAGGATAAAAATTGATTTTTTTTCCTTACTCATAAACTAAGGCAGGTAAATATGCAAAAATTTTGAAAGCTTATTCTGTGGGCGATATTGTAGTATCTGTACAAAAATGGAATAAATTGACCACGCCTGCCTGATATTATAGGAAATCAAAAATTAATTTTTTTATAAAGCGCAAAAACAAGCTTCATAAGCCCCATAAAGTGTATAAATTCTTGGGCAATTTTAAATTTGCAATGCACCTAAGCATGTTCGTCCGTTCCACTGTCCATATGTCTTTCTGCGCAGCCGTATGTGTGGTATTTGCGATAAACATTCCCCTGTTAGCGAAAATGAATAGATCGCCTAGAAATTTGGAAAAGAATTTGGAAGTGACTTAAACTTTTCAAAGGACACGCCTACAATGCCGACAACAGTCTTTGCGACAAAGAGTTTTACTTTGAAAATAGAAAAAATCGGTCACCTCCATCCCATATTATGCAACAAGAAAATTTAGTTCGTTTACTTTTTTTGCCTTTTTTTAAATTAATGGCGATGGGTATAAAAGACTCGATGAATAAAGTTTTCTTGCTTGTTTTATTTAACTCTAAAAAAGTTTAAGTTTGCTCTCACTGTTTCTGGAGCTTTGGGCTATGATTGTTCACCTTGTCATCTTCTCTTCTCGGCAATGACTAAGCAAAAAAAGTGCATCACCAACAGTTCCTACAGATCGAATGGACATGAATAGAATTATTTTGGCTCGCATAGTAAAGTTATATAAATCAATATTTGTATATTTTCAATAAAGCTGATTCTGTTGGCCTGACATTTCAAGAGGCCAAATATATCCAATTTTTTAATATTAAAAACAAAAAAAAAAAGCTTAAGGCATTAAAAATAGTATTTACATAATCGCATCATACTTTACAATTAACAATAAACTTGCAAAATTATTTTTTTTAGATAAAAAAAAAAAAAAATGTCTTGCAGACAATTTTCGATAAATAATAAAAATAAAATAGAATGAGAGATAATCACCACAATTTCTGTGAAATAATACGCAAAATAAACGAGTAAAATAGGCAGATGTATACAACTGTTACATATGGGAGTTATAATCTTTATGCTTCTATATTATTCGCGCTGCATTGTGAGCTAATATCAAAATCGGACACACTATCCGAGCCATAGCCACTGTAAATACCAGATGGGGCGCCTGCGCTAGGAAAGTCGGTGCTCACCGTGGAGCTCACGGCGCGAGGTATAAGCACATTGGGAATGTATACTGGCGCGGGTCCAGCCATTTCAACTATACTAGGACGTCGCGCTTGGGTGCAACGTTTTATCGGCGACATAAATGTGAAAAGAGTTAGCGTAATTATTAATGCTGCTACAAGTACTACAGCTCTTGTTAAGCCCGCACCTCTTATGGCCGATATCATTACCATAATTAGCAGCAGCAACACAACCGAGAATTTGGTCATTGTTACGGCGGTGGAATGTATTTTACCACCATTACGCGATAGCATATTCGATGGCCCATAGGCAAAGTATAAATTGTAACGATCTACAAAATGTTTGAAACATATGTAAATCATAGCAAAGGGCATAATAATTGGACAAAATACACTATAGACAACGGATATTGTGAATACCAGAGTAGTCCACGCGTAATGAATTCCAAAGGGAAATTCAATTAGTATGTATTTACGAATGGAGGGTGTTTCCGCTTTAGTTTTAGCCGTAATCAACATCCACATGTATACAATTAATTCCGGAAAACGTAACAATTCCAAAGACGTACCAATGAAAGCCGCAGTTATAATGTAATTAACATAAAACGAACCGCGATCTGGTAAGAAGATGCATTGCCAACGCAATGTATCGTTACTCACACTCCATTCTAACAGAGCCTGAGCCGAACTTAAACCCAAAGATGGTAGAATCAGAATCATAAAAAGCAAGTAACCGAAACATTTCGTCATTATCGAGTAGTTTTGCTTAGAACGCGTATAATGACTCATCCATTTGTCGGAGAAGGCCACCATCACGGGCATCAATATCGACAAAGTCCAGAGCATCAAAGTAGGCAAAAATTCCGAAATCAATGGTGATAAAGTAGGAATATTATCTTTAGCAATTGCAATACTGTCTATGAGATTCACTATCATAGCTGGAGTAGTTAGAAAGAAGAGCGTCATGAATAATAATAAATTGACAATGGTCCACTTAAGCATCCAATGGCCAGGATTAACGTTCAGATTTTCCCAAAATAAATCATCCATTGAAGGAGCAAATTCAAGAGTCCATTGACGATAGGTACCAGGATTGAAATGAGCCACAATATCTTGCGCCTCTTGAACAGTGGAAGCGGTCAGGAAAGCGATGCCTAAAGGCTCGTTACATGCGGCGGCTCTCAAACGTTCTATTTCATTCCTTAACGCGTGCTCTTTGCGTTGATAATACTCATAAGCATTCTCCTTCTTGCAAGACCAAAATTCCGGACGTATCTAGAAGGCAGAGCATAGATTAATTAATTTTGCCTATAGAAGATTTTAAGACATTTTTACCATTAATGTGTCTCTCTCTCGATGATGTTCACAGTATTTCCGAGCATCTACATAGCGTTCATATTCTGCGTTGCGAACATGGAGTTTTGATATATTATAAGCAATTTCTACATTTTCAATTGTAACACCTGGGAACAATTCGTGTATATAGTTGCGTACAACAGTTTTATTACGATCGCTAGGTGAAATATTTGTTATCATAATGGTACGTGATGCAGCTTTCTTCGAAGCATTTCTACCCGATGAACGACGCATGATCAATACAATTAAAGGCACATAGCTAATGGTGATCATGACGTGAACCCATAGCCAAGGTGAGTCGGGTGTTAAGTTAGCCATGGTGGTACGTGCAAAAGCATTTATATCGTATTCATCACTTGTTGGGCCATTCCAGAAATTCACCGGTAATATAACAAAAAGTGAGACCAACGTAATAATTCCCATAACCATCATAAGATGCTTTTGAAAAGACAAATAGTAAACAGCATCAGGTCCGGAATGAGAAATAATTTCTTCTTTGCGTAATTTCCAAGTTACGATAATCCACAAGAATATACCATCATGTTCTGTTGTTGGCAACGGTGTTAAGTCTGCACCATTCTGTGAAGAAATATTACTTCTGCCCTCTTCTAGGTTACCATTTGCCTTTGAAAATACGGATGTATTACGTTCCTGCGTTTGTTGATTATTATGCTTGGATGAATGCGGTAATTCTAAATTGACAGCACCACGCGAATAGAAAATTTCAGTCCAACGTTTACGATTACCATTACTGTTGACAAGTCTTAAACGACCATAGTCACCGGCCTGATGACGAAGTACGGTAAATAATCCGACTAATAGAAACCAAGCGACAACGTTAAGTAACAAAGTCCCAGGTATGCCATTATAGGCACTTATAAATAATGAACGTTTATCTAAAGTTTTGCATATATAGCTATCGTCATCACTTCTACTTAAATTAAGTATTGTTTCCATGGCGCTGAGCTCGTTTGGTTAGCTATTTAAAATGTTTTGTAGACTTTAAAGCATTTGCAATGAATTACGAAGCTGGAAAATAACGAAATAAAAAATAAGATTAAATATATAAATATGAGATATAAGGGTAATGTATGCAGGCAAGACTAAGAATTACAAAAAATGCTCATTTTGTTAATTAATCGTTAGTCGTAGTTGGCCGGGCTCAGGACTTTTAGATAGTCTCGATAAGTACCTCTGCTGTAGAGCTACCAACTAGAAATGACAGATGGCTCGATGCATTGACTTGATTAAATTAAAATCGTATCCCACGTTATATGTAATGATCAAATGTGTAGATTGGAGATAACGTGAATAGATCTCCAGTAAGAACGATTTAAGTGAAAACACAAAGTTGTCGAAATGTCAAAATAAAATTGATTATGTGTACGCAGATAGATAAATAGATAAATACAAAAGTTCGTAAGTAGATGATAGTATATATAACTTGCCTTGCGTTTTGGGTGAAAGTAAATTTTTGAAAATTTTCAAACTTCTGCGTGCGCGGATTTCGGCAAACAAAACAGTGTTGTATTGTCGTGGAAAGAATACGTGGCTATATGGTCAATATTTAATTCGATGGTTATTGAAAAAATTTCATTATAACAATAACCACAAGGAACATCAAGGAACAAAAACATTAGATTAAATTTTTACAATGAAATAAAACAAGAACATTACAGTCAGGCAAGGCCGACCTTATCCACGTAGTCCGATACAATTTTTACATTTGTATGAAATTATTATTATGGGACAATTTAGATTCTTCTGCTTTACAAAGGATCAATTTGGGCGGGTAGCATATCAAAAAAAGGCCGAGATAGTTTAAATTTGGTACAGTTGAGTTTTTTATGTGAAGTTAGCAAGTATTGCGATATAATTTTTATGATGAAAAATTGAAAATTAAACCTTTTTGTCGCATGAAGTCCGGTTTTCGTTATATGAGAGGACCTTTAAAAATTACCCCTTTCGGTCCAAAGTTTTCATACCGATTTAGAATGCCAAAATACTACTACTTAGCCGCTTTTGCCGAGAAATTTTGAAAATTGCAAATTTTTTCTATATAACATCTTTTTCAAATGGGTCGTCATATGCAAAGGGTCGAAAAAGTGGATCGAAATAGCTTGCGTCCTTTCCAAAATATTTCACTGTTCCAAATTTCAACAAAATATACCCATATTGGAACATGTAGCTTGAACCCAAATTTACGTTGACAGACATCAGCCGCACAGGCGGACAGACAGGCTTAGATCTATTCAGCTTATGATTCTGAATCGATCAGTATAATAAAAGGTGGATCTATTTTAAGCCCTTCTGCGTGTTACACACGTCCACAATAACTTAATATACCTTACACCACAAGTGGTGTAGTGGATACGTAAACTTCGTTCCTTTCTTTCTTCTTTTGCTTTTAAAATCACTTTTAAAGCCATTTGCACTTTTTCATTGCCGCTTATGCAAACGAAGGCTAACCATATGTTTTTGTTTTGCGAGCTGTGTTCAACTGATTTTACTGACGATATCCCTTGTGGGCTACGCACAACGCATAAGGCAATCATTGTGTTTAGCACTTTACTTTTGCGACAGATCTTTAAGAAAAAGAAGATGAAGCATCACTGGCCTATGACGTTCATACTACTGCAACGCTTTGAGTATGTGGTAAACGGATGCTGCCATATGCATAGACTGTTCAGCAGAAAACAACATTAACTTCCGGAATCTGTTGCTTAACCTTAGATAAAGTTTGACAGTCATTATTGATTCAATTATTCTATAATTCATTGTCATTGCACTGATTATAATTAATCACAGCTAAATTGAAGTTATCTATTATGAGTTAGTCAGTCATATTAACGTCATGAAAACAAATTTCTATTACCATTTTTATCAATTTGGGTCACGAGAGTAAAAAGAAAAAAACAAAATGGTCTTTGTAAAGCATTTGAGTTTATTAACAAATGAAGTAATTTTCCATTCGCCATTTACAGCGAATATTAAGTAAACATCATTAATGGAAATTTTATAAAAACCACGAAATAAAATGATTTTCAATTCAAAGAAATTTATAATAATAAAAACGCTTGGTACTACAATAACTAACAGTAAATTTCTGAAAAGAGTGTAAGTGAAATAATATCTGATAAGTTACGACATTTAGATAATGATCAATAGCTTTTAATGTCTCTTAAAGATGTTTGCCGTTCGCGAATCGTGAAATTGAATTCTTTTTTACTCGTGCAAGTTCTTGAACCATAATATTATCAGTTATATTATTCATCCGTCTATGGAACATGCGAGTAAAAGGAGAATTAATAACGAAAAAAGATTATTAAAGAAAGAAACTAAGCTTTGTTTGACTAGTCATTTCTCATTTAAGGTCAATCAATATCGTTCACACTTTAAGTAAGTAAGTAATATATATAAGTTTGTACGGGCGTATGTAATATGCAGAAGGGCTTAAGATAGACAAACTTTGTATTGTACCTAAACGTGTCTGTTTGTCTGTCTGTCTATCCGTCTGATATCTGTCCTTGTAAATTTGTGCATTTATTATTATGTATGTACTTGTTAGATGCGCGAATAAACAAATTTATAGCCGCGAATATAGGAGGTTTTTAACTTTTTTCAATCCGCAAATAGTGAACACGCGAATGAAGTAATCGCGAATGAGGAGCTTTTACTGTGTTTTGATGAAATTTGGTACAGCGACATGCTTTCACCGAAAGTTCAAAACAATTTGGATCCGTCCACCTTTTCGACCACTTTCCACATAACGACCTATTTTGAAAAGATGTTACGTGGAAAAGAAATTCTCGATAAACTCGTTCTACAATAGCATTTCGCCTTTCTCAATTGGTGTGAAAACATTAAAAGGGCTGCGGCTCGTAACCTTGAGCCTTGTCTCATATAACCGTTCATTTTACTGAATCTTTACATATAGTAAGAATTAAGAAAGTTATATTCGGCGGGGCGGCATCTCGCATACCCCCCACTATGTTTTTCGCATTCTACTCTCGGAGTTATTTTATTTGATACGCATATCGTTGGTATTATTAAGAAAAAATTAATCGCGGTGCCTACCATAATCATTTTACAATTAACTTAATAATTAAATTTTCAGGAAAAATAAGATGAGCCCTTATTAGGCTCAGTAGGCTCTAGATCACTTGTACAGGGTACGGGCTATATTAAGCTTAAACATAAAATTCAACATGGCTTGAGATACTTTACTATCCTAATTCAGAATCACTTTCTTAATCGACTTAAGCGTGTCCGTCCATCTGTCTTTCTATCCATACTTTTGTGTTCAATTTACATATCGCAATATTTGAGGAATTTTGATGGAATTTAGTACAATTACGTGCTTTGATCCGCATAAGATTTCCCATGCATAGTAAACCCTTCAGAAAAAGGGTGATAGGGACGATAGGAAATTTGGATTACATAGAACAATATATAAATGGGTTATCATGAAAAGTGAGCCCTTATGTGGAGAGAAAGTCTAGTTTATAGTTTTTTATAATGGAAACTGAAAAATAAAGAAAAAAATTGGTTCAAGATGTTCGGAATAAGGCATTTAATACATCTTCCAAAGTTGCCGCAGTAAACACCACAAACCACATATAAATAAATGTAAATATAATTTTTGGTAGTAGAAAGATGATGTTACCTCGGACAGTATAAATAATGGAAACCTGGACAATTTAGAAAATTAAAAATGAGAACAAACATTCACGAGGGTTTTTGGCAGATGCGATGAAACAAGTCTCCATTTGCAGATTAACACAAAACTGCGATTTCATTGCAAGGTCGCTTCGAAATGGCTAATGTATTTGTCTATAAACAGTTCTTTTATCGCCGACAAAGCTTTTATTTTACACGTTTTCTTCAAGTAGTTTCTTTGTAAGTAATAAAAATATATAAGTAATTATATTACCTTAGAGTGATATGCTTGCACAAACAAGTTAATTGTCGTTCGTTTTTCATTTAGTTCGTATTAATAGGAAATTAATTTTGTATTAATTAAACTCGTTTTAATTTGATTTAATTTTAACGTAGCACCGTTAAGTTTTGGCAATCCTTTCATCATACCAATTATACCGTTATGGTTTAGTACAAATGTTTTCGCTTCAATTTTAATAAACAAAATTTCTTTCTTTTGCTTTTTAATGAAAAAAAAAAAACTCATAAATATGGTTTTCTAATTATCATAAACATAAACATAACAACACTTGTCTAACGAATACAATAAAGTTTATAAAACAAAAAAAAAAAATTGTTAGTTGTAGTATAAGCGCACACACACACACACACACACACAATGTGAATAATGTGAACAACACAAATCAAGATATCAAACTTTAAATGTTACTAATATTTATTTTTTCAAATGAATCATCAAAAATTGCAAAGAGCGCACATACGAATTAAAGACAAAAGTATTTGCAATGTGTTCGAAAAGGCTAAACACAAACAACTTATCAAGGTGATGCAAATAAACATAAACATTAAGGTACACTTAAGAGATGCGATAAGAAAGTGGAAAAACAACAAAAAATTCTCTTTATAATACTTGTTAGTAATAATACATAAGGCGAGAGTGGCAATCTCGAGCCACTATATTCTTATATTTGCAAAAAAAAAAAAACATATTATTTATTAACTTACCACCTCTACTGCACTCTTCTATATAGGTATATAAGTATGATGATAGTGTTAATAAGGTTGACTATCAGGAAAAGTTATTGTAAGAAAAATCAATCATCTGCACGCACTCTTTCGTATTTGTTGAAACCACAAGCGGAGAAGAGTTAATGAACCTTTCGTCGCATATAGTATCAAATTTCGTAAAAAACTGAAAAGTATTTTCTAATATATCTATTTAATTCTTTTTTGTTTTGGTTTCTTTTTTTCTTTATCTATGACTTCATAACGCCACGCAAGTGAGTTGGCCTTTTCATGTAGTAAGTTTTTTCTCTTCCTATCCAAACACCGAGATTTTTTTTATTATTATATTACGTTGTAATACCATTAGATTTTTAAAACGCCATCCACCGTATGTTTTGCTTTGATTTTTATTTACTTTTATTAAAATTTCTCTATAAATTAGTATTTATGTAAAAATTTGATTTAATTTATTTTCACTTTATTCTTATTTATTTTATATATAAAAAAAAAAACAAAGACCACTTAAACGTTTTCTTTTTTCGATGTTGTCTAATGCAGAAAAATAAATATAATATAAGGCAAATTAGTAAACAGCTGTTATCTTCTGTGTGAATTTAAAAGCGCAGAGTTGCTATAAGAAGTATTAAAAGATAAAATTTAACAGCTGGTTGCTTATTTTTATGACTATTCACCATAGGTTAGCGGAAATATGATAAAATCGTTTCAAATTGAATTTTATAGAAAATAAAAGCCGAAAAAAGTATGTAAGCCTTTAGAGCAATAATGCCTTCTTAAAAATGGTACAAAGTACAAAGGCCGTTTAGTCATCTGTTAAAAGTGAAAAATTTTAACATAAGTCCGAATATTCTATATAACATTTGAAGGTTTATTTATGCAAGATATCTATTGTATTGCAATCAACGAAACAGTTTCTTTTGCGTTCTCTGCTTTGAAAATATATGAAAAGCCTATTAAAGGCGCTTAAGACAAAAAAAAAAAAAAAAAAAACTGTTGACATGATATAAAATAGTTGTTCTAAAGCTGCTTTTTTTGTACAAATACAAAAAATGTTTTTGTACAAATGCAAAAATTTTCACTTGTAAAAGCCATTTATTGTGGAAAACTGATACAATATATATCATCAAAATAGTTTCCATCATTTTCTACAACGTTTTACAATATTTTTGGCAACATGGCGATATCATGTCGAAAGAATGATTAATTTTCGCGGATCCGCGTGCCAGGTAAGCCATGCTACAACCGATCTGTACAAGTGGTAATTAGGACGCGCCAGAACTTGGATTTTGAGCTGCAACTGCGTATCCTGCACAACTCTTGCAACAAGCGGTCAAATAATGGCATTTTCAGTCAAATACACTGGTAATTCCCATTTCTTTACCGTTTCTACCTGTAGAAGTCGCTGGTTAGCATTTTTGCAAATACCTAATAAATGCGAGGGCAGAGAAAGACTAGAATAATGAGCTTCTTATGCGTCTTGGAATATACAAACATTTCTTAGCATATAACTTGCATGTAAACAGTGACCAGAACATGAATTAATTTTCATTCCAACATTTTTACCAAATGTACAAAGCGATAATATAATAAATTGCTACATGAAAGTGAACATGTTAAAAAATATTGACTTTTGGAAAACTGCAGAAGGACGGTTAATATTAAATTTGTTTAAAATTGTGTGCGTTCTGTGTTGATTCATATTCGCATTCGCTATAGACATGAAAGGAAATTAATATGCCTTTATACCAGTGAACACAATGGAGTAAGAAACCAGGAATATTGATTGTCATGACCTTAATTGAATATCAATGTAATAAAATATAAAGTGTTGCGGTTTTAACCTCAGAAACTTGTTTGTAATTTCCGTGCAAAACCATTAACTTGTATACGTTGCACACAGTTAATAGAAATTTTTTGGAAAAATATTTTATGGCATGAAATATTTACGTAGCAGTTGAGGGCTTTTTATGGAGAAACCACGCCATAGTAAGAGAATATTGTTTAAAAGATTGTTTTATTTAAAATTAAATAGCGATTATTAATAAATTTTCTTACTACGCACTATTGAGGAAAAGGCAGTTTTATGATATACCCTTGTGTACAAAAGCAAATATTTATGTTTAGTTTCTCACCAAATTATGGCCTTAGTTTCGCGCTCTTCAGTGGAATAGGAAGTAAAGATCAACGTCTAGTTTTTGGTCAGTCGAGTCTTGAGGAGTTTTGTCAAGATAGAAAATTAAAGCTTGGCGCTCATTATTTTAGCTACAATTGAATGGCGCTTTTACCAACAAATGGTTTTCAAGTCTTCAGAACTTAAAGCATTACGAAGTGAAAAACCTTGTAACGAGCTTTCCTACTGCCGGCGTACACTTGCCGGTCAACAGCGTTCAGTTACAAGACAACTTATGGCGTTCCGCGTCAAACATCCCAACTTCTTAGACTCTCTTACTTATTTCCTTCCGTGCATAGAAACTCATTATTCTCACGTAATTTTATTTCATATTCTTTTTATACAAATGTATGTTTAACAAAATTCAAAAGAAACCTTACTTGAACGTTACACTCACATTGTGTTTATTTTCTTTACAATTCATTTTCAATTTTCCGTCGGGTTTCTTTGTTCAATTCGAGAAAATTATATATGTAGCTCGCACTAACATTCCGATGACTTGTTTTCTTAGATCACAAGAAAAAAAAGGTTGCTAAAGGCAACTTTGCCGGATCTCAGCTGAAATCAGATGACTTCGACCGAGATGCCCACTGCCCGTCGTCTGTCGCTGTCCACTTACTGCTATATACCCCAATTTAAATACTAGCACCTCTACCTGACTGCTTGAACGAGTAAATGACTTCGCTCCCTCACAATCTCTTTGCTGTTACTAGAAATCTTATATGTTGTAGTGTTGCTTTGAGATTTATATCAAAGATTAGAAACGCTTTATGGAAACCTTTTCATTAAATAGGAAATAATGGGTTTTGTATCGCTATAATGGATTAAAGTATTTTAATGAAATATCTTTACAAGTGAAACTCTCGTTGATTAACGAGCGTTTTTCATAATGAATTTGCGATATTTCTGCCTCACGATTGTCAAATATGAATCGTGTAGTGTTCATCTTATTTTCAAACAAGCCAAAGCAGTAAATCTATTCGGCGTAATTCTGGCTTACGTGAAGTTTGAAAAGTTGTAAAAGTATTGCATCTCATATATTTGCATATAATTAAAAGTTATTCAATAAAAATATATTACGGAAAAACTCTTAATTAATATAAAATTAAAGTAAAGGAAAAACAAAATAAAATAAGCACTTGTTTGTTATTAGGTTGATATTAAAATTTCATTTCATAACCGCAAACAATTATTAGCATTCTGTGCACTTGTGAGAGATACGAACACATAAATATTCAAATAATACCGAGAATTAAATGAGAAAATTTATGACAAACACTAACACTTAGGGGTTACATGCATTCATGCATGCATCTCTACATATTACACATATGCATGTTGCCTAAAAGTATGTGTAAAAATGCTTAGCGTTCACTTAAGTACACAAACGCAAGCGTCTGCTTGCGTGATAAACACGCAGGTAAATTGTATGACTTTCATGACATTAGACAAACACTTATTATACTCATATATATGGTAGGTTTTTGTTTATGTATATGCGTGTGTGTGTGTGTGTGTATGTGTGTGTGTATGTGTGACTAAGTAGCTTCTATGGCACAGAACTTATTTGCAATGCACTAAATTATCATAACCTTATTATAAATTTCGTATGTGCACACATACCTATGCACATTAATAAAGTTATATGATTTTATTAGTTTAAGAAAACTCATTAAAAGTCGTATTTTATATCCAATGCTTAGAATGTTTAAATATAAGTACATTACAAATAGATATGAAGGAACCGCTTTAAATATAAATATTAAATATACGTATATACACATATATTTATGTAAAGATATACATAGATATTATATATCTTTAAAAACAAAATAAGAAAAAAACACTCCACTTATTCATATAAGGAATTTTCAATATAAGGGTTTAATAGGAAAATCTGGAAGATCTGTATGTTGAACATAAGAATATCAGATGATCAGCTCAAGCTTAGACTGACTTAGCAAGTGATTCTGAGTCGATCGGTGTAACAAAAGTTGCGCCTATCTCAAGTCCTTCCGCTCAAATTTAATATACTTTTGTACCGCAAGCGGGGTAGGGCTTAAAAATATTATGGGAATATTTTCTTAGAAATGGCCGCATTTGCGTTCACATTATAGAAAAGCATTCGACTGACACAGCATCTCTTTTCATAGTAGCACATTTTCTCAATCTCTTTTTCATATTATTCGGAAATTTCTTTCAAATTTTTTTAGCCACACGATCACAGTACTGTCGATGTACCAAATTTCATTGAAAATATCTTAAAAATTGCGACCTATAGGTCGGTCACAAGAATATCGGACGGATAGAGGGATAGATGAACAGACAAATTTCGGTCGATTGAGTATCAAATTTTGCAGATGTATGTAATAACCAGTAGGATTTAAGATCGATGATTCTTCATCATATTTCTGAATGTTGCATAAATCTATACAAACTTAATATATGCTTGTACCACAAGTAATAGAAAAATTCAATTTCATTTAAGCTGAATTTATTAATAAACAAATTTTTAAATACGAAGCATAAAATTTGAAGAAAAATGCATTGTTGTAATCGCCATAATTAGTTACTTGTACGCGGCTCGCATATAGACGGTTTCTTCACTTTTTTTTCCTCAACGAATGGGGTTTCTTGGATATAATCTGCGCCGGCTGTGTTGTCATGTTTTTGAAATCAGTTGAAAAAATTGTGTGCAACAAGGGAACGTCCATGCTATGCCATGCCATGCCTTGATATTGAGAAGAAATCTTTTCGTATTCTGTGTTGTAATAGGAATATTGCAAGAGAATCCATACGTAAGAAGTTGATTTTCAATTTTTATGATTTTGTAAATTTTCTTCGAATTTTCTCTAAATTTTCTTTTTTTGTCTTCTTTTAATATGACCCAGAGGATTTTGTCCTCTATTCCAAGTAGCAGAATGACGGTAAAAAAAAAACGAAGGGTGCATGCTCAACCTGTACTATAAGGTACGGCCGAGATACGTCCGAGTACGCTCTACTCCATTGAAATTTGAACACGCCAGCACTGACCTGGTAGTCGCGACTATTATAACATAACGTAGGGAAGGCAAAAGAAGATCGGTGTTTCTCGATGACATTGTGACATCGTAATTACATCATTGGGCAACAAGTGGGTATATGCGTAAGATAATTCTGCCATGTTCACTAATCCGACCTAAGCAACTACCATTTGTGCGGTTTTAAACCTCCATAAGGAACACTATATATGATTCTACTCTAGTAAGAAGTAGTTATTTAATTTTGCACCCAATAC